GGGAGAAGACGGCTGATGGTTTGCCAGAAGTGAAGGTAACTCCAAAGTTTCACTTTACCAAACTGTAATGACTGACAGTTCAGTGTATAACTCGACTCAAGGCTTATTCTGAAAAGTACAAATCCATGATGCCACCCAACAATAGAGATGCTGGGATCAAAAGGAACCTGGATGTCTTTGTGTCTCTCCATCCTCTCCAGATACAGCCCAGATGCCCCTAAAGTGGATGTTAAATTTTCAAACAGCTCCGTTTCAGCAAGGTAAAATTCATCCCATGTGACAAAACAGTGAGTGCTTCTATACAATTAAAGAATTTGTTCTTTTTTTCTGAACCTGAAATCCTTATATAAAATAAGTAAATCACATAACTGCACACAGAAGAGAAAGGGTCTATGTATCATATATGCTTGCATAACACTTCTGTGGTTATTTACCTACATCTAGGCATGTAGTGAATATGTAAATGAAGCTGGGCCAATTTCATTACTGACACAAGCAGTGAAATCACTACCCATTCCTATCAACAATGTGATTTATGTCAACAACATGAATGATTTGTGGCTTTGCATAGAGCTAGTAAGTTATAGACCTGTGACCTCACAGAGCTTGTAGATTTATGAATATTTTTGTCAAAGTTCTTCTGACAATCTCTGTTTATCTCAGCTATTGAATTTTACTCGTGTACATTTTCACTTTAAAATACTAAACTTCCATAATTTAAAATATTAGCAGTCCTAAGAATATATGTGCATTCAAATCTCAAGCTGCATCTCAAAATTCCAAAATTTTTTATATATTTGCTTATACTGTTCGGGACTTTTTTTCAGTGAATGAAAAACTGATAAATTGCAATGCCCAGAAGATCCACTAGAGGAATAAGTTCTGTCTGAAAAGAGATAAAAGTGACTGACTACCATAATTTCAAGACAGTATATGAGGCCAATTCAAAACAAAAAAATTTAAGTTGCAGAATCCCACCTTTGGTAGGAAGGTTACTACTCATTAGGCATTAACAACATTCACAGTCTACCCACAACAGCAAAATGCTGCAAAGTTTAAAGCAAACTATTAGAAAGGTTACCAAAACAAAGGTTATATATAAAACTTAGAAAAGTAAGATTATAAATAAATACTTTTCCTTATCTAAAAGAAGCACTCATACAACTGAAAACACAAGTTGGTTTTTAAATTATCCTCTCTCAGATCTCCTCAGAGAAAAGGACATGGCAAGGCCACTCTGGTGCTTTGTGATTAGGAGCCGATGTCTGGACTGCTGGAGTGGCAGTCCTGAGCAGGAGCAGTGGGAATCTCTGCTGAGGTGGGTGGGAATGGCTCTTTGTACAGCACTGCTTCTGCCTGAGACACTCACTGTAGCGATTGCAGGATTAAATGGCTAGGGAGGGCTGCTCTCAGTTAAAATGTCTCTAACACCCTGGAGGGATGAAAAAAATGATGCTGCTTAGGAGACTCATGCCTGGAATGACAGGGCTAGAGAGCAAACAGAGAAAATGCTAAAATATCCTCAGAAGCCATGTCAATATCTGACCTGAAAAGTAGTCTTTACTGGTACATTTAGGAACATGAGAAGAAATTCTGTGCTGCACATGACAGAGCAGAGCTCCCAGCACAGGACAGAGC